CAACACACCATGCATGTAAATATTGAATTTTTTATTTTAAAAAAAGCAACTTTTACCCAAAATCAGGCAAAGCAGACAGGCAGATTGAGTTGCTCACAGAATCACAGATTCATTCAGAAATCTATCTGCCATTGGCTAGCTCAGTCTGTCACATAAAATTTGCTTACAAGCAAACTCATAAAATTAACTCACAACACACCATGTATGTAAATATTGATTTTTTTTATAGAAAAGCAACTTTTATCCAAAATCAGGCAAAGCAGGCAGATTGAGTTGCTCACAGAATCATTCAGTGATTTATCTATCTGCCATCGGCTAGCTCAGCCTCTCAAATTTGCTTGCCGTGAGTCTGCACTGAATTTGCTTGCAAGCAAACCTTCAATCCTAAGGGAGGTTCGGCTGTGCTTAGCTAGAAAGCAAGAAATCCAACCATTTCCTGCTCCCTAGCTAATCTAAATCTCCTGGCACAGCAGAACAGATGATGGTTGGAAAAAGGAAAAATAGCAACTTAGCAGACAAGTTTGCTGGGTAAGGAGTGAGTGGGCGGGGAGGGTTCCAGCGGGCCATGTGGGCTGAGTAACTTTGTGTTTCTGCGCAGCCTGGATTAATTGCTTTGGGGGGGGGGGGTGCTCTGGGGGTGAGATTTCTCTGCGGCCCACCAAAATTTTCTCACGACCTATGAGTGGTCCGCGGCCCACTGGTTGGCGACCGCTGCACTAGAGGAAAAAGCAGCACTTATATATTCCAAACGAAAAACTAAATTTTGGAGCCAATAAAGTAAACTTAAGAACTGCATAGTATAAAAATCTTTTCCAGGATTTTGTCACCAAAAAGCCATTATCGGAATGCGTCTTGGAAACTCATAAAGTATACTGCTAGGAAAACAGCAAATGCCAAAACTTTTGTTTTGGAGTATATACTATGTCTATGAACATTAGCATTTGTTCTAATGGATGCATTTGTTGAAATCAAAATTGTGTATGAATATGTAGCAGGCTACATAAGTGACGGATAAGATAGGAGAGATTGAGGCAAATAAAATGGGCTTCAAAAGTGCCTCCAAGAATTAAAATGAAAGATAAAAAGGCAAAATGTATTCTCAGAATGACAGGGCGAATGGGCAGTCTGTAATCATGTCAAGGAGATGTCCATGGTTACATCCACTTTCAACACTTTCCCTTCAACCAGGAAGACAACTAAGATCAACTCAAAAGTCATTAAAAAGAATGAAAAGAAATATTTTATACTGTCCTCCCAAAAATCTTTCAGACCAAATGCCAAACAAAATGAGAGTGAAGGGAGGAAGAGAAAGAAAGCAGGTAAACAAAAGCTGGTAGCATTTTTTTTCTCTGTTCTTTTAAAATCAAGAGATCTCTGGACAGAACTTCCCCAAATGAGACACTCACCTGCTTTTTAACTGGCCAGTCATCCGTTGTTGTAGAGTTGGAAATAATATCCAGGAGGCAGAAACCCACTTCCGACTGCGAGTTAGAGGAGTCATTGGAGCAAGAGCAAGGATAGAATGTCTGGTTTTTTCCCTGAAGAGCTGTGTTGTTTTTCCAAGTTTCTGGCCCAGTCCAACCACAGCATTGTAGCTATGTTTAAAGGAAAACAGCACCTTGTTACTTCCTGTTCAGTGTCACAGGGCCATTTTGTCAACTATCGAAAGAACTCTAACTGAAGCCATAAAAATTCCTTATTTCCTTTCTCAGTTGCCATGCTAAAGGGGGAGGGAGATTTGTGGAATGTAGAATGTTTCCTTTTAGAGTGCCAGACATAACACTGATAAGGCTCTTGAGAGCTGAAGCTGACCCAGCGTATCCTAGCAACGGCAGGAGGGGAGTACCAAGACCTGTTTGGTTGGTTAACGTGATCTGGGACACAAAGGGGGGTGGCCAGTATCTATATTTTAATTATGCCAAAGTGCGGGAACTATTCAGAATTGGCTTGACTTTTGAACCTACCAGTATGATGTGCCCAATAAGCAAGATCTTTGAAACAGCAACAGCCTCGGAGTTTTGAACTAATTCATTGAGAGCATTACTCAGAACTATGACACATTTTGCCTGAGAAGATTTTTCTGCTTCTCTTTTCGTCACTATTACATTTTTTTTAGTGGTATTATCTTGCTCAATAAAATTCTATGTGTAGCATACAATTATTTAAATAAAAAAAACACCAGCAAAAATTGCATGGACTTGTCCATGTACTTGCCAGGAGTCAAAACAGACAAACAAAACAAACCACACCTTCACCATAATATAGCAAAATTCACTTCTCCTTTACAATCTAAGGTAATAAAATCAAGCAGAAAATGCCATGTTAATTGATTCAATAAATAAGATAAATAAGATGAAGTTACCTATTTTGTGAGTTTGGAATGAATTTTAAGGAGGAAAAAAAATAGTAGCAAATCTCATAAAAGCAGAATCATCCTCTTCACTTTAGTCACATTGAAGGCAAAATATATCAAAAGTTAATACCTGTAGGATCCTTACATTTACACTACCATGTAAAATGCACCTCTGTTAATTCTAGAGAATTCATTTCAACCTCTACAATTAACAAAATGCCAACAAAATGTCCCTCTTTTAGACATTTAAAATGATTTCTTTTGCCACACTAGAAAAATAAGCAGGACTGGGTTGATTTTTTTCCTTTGGATAACTTTGGGAGTAATTTTATGTGGGTTGGGCAGCTGTATAAATTTATTTAACAAATAAATCTTATAATTTTCACTGTTAGGTGTGAGATGGATAGCATATTTTGTAGCCATTGTTACAATTTTTATTATTAAAAATGAGTAGGTCTTTCATATGAAAGCACATCCCAATATATGAAACTACTTCACCTGTCTGAAAATGTGAGAAGTCCATTGTGATAGGACTGTGTCTGACTAGCTTCAAAAATGGTGCTATTAATAAGAACTACCCCCTCAAGGGCTTCTATGGAAATGGCTTACAAATCAACTGGCAAGGCTGCTGACTGTGAAGCTGCCTCCCTATAAGATCTATTAAGAATTCTATAACCAAAATGGCATTATATACAATGAAACTGGATGCAACTTTTCCAGCACACTATTTGCTTGTGAGTTTCCTATCCAGTTTCAAATGGGGGGTAACAATTGTAAAACTCAATGTAGCCACCAAAAAAAAAAAAAAAGATGCTTTCATAATGTTGTATATTCTTCCACTTTGAAGAATATACAACATTGTTAATTCTCACTCAATGGTATTCTGGAACAGCAGGCAATTAGATTTCATTCTGCTTGAAGATCTCCAGATCCAATGTAATGCCCTGAATTGCTAGTTCTTTGAAAGTGATTGAAGAAGTATGTTATAGAGGCACTTCCCAGCCTCACTCATAAACACCAGCTTGAGAGTTATTTCCTTAGCATGAAAAAGGCCAATTGTTAAGAATAGCCAGTCACCAAAAGATGGAGCTCTTCTACTATTCTTTCCTCTTAGCTTGTGGTTAAAATAGGATTTTATAAAAAGTTGGCAAGACTTTTCATTTGTGAAGAAAGACCAAGTAGGCCTTAATTATATAATATACTGTACTGTATGTAAATAAGAGTCAATTTGCTGTTGGGAATAGAATATATATTTAGAAACCTGCTGAAAATGGTAATAGTAATCTATGCAATAGCTACAAAACTGTGAGAAAAAATTGTAACTGAGAGTTTACTTAGTCCTAACTAGCTAAAATGAATTTCATTATTTCATTTCTGGTTCACAAAGACCATAACTCCATGTTCTGTTCTGACTTGGAGACAATCTACAGGTTTTTGTTTTATGGTAAAACACACATTAGTCTGTGAACTAATAGCTTCAATTAAAATGTCCCCAATTAATTTAGGAAGAAAACCAAACTCAAATTTCTCTCATATTGAATGAATGCAATATAATCTCTAAGACAGAGTGATGAGAATATGAGTGGATAAAGAACTTATTAAACACCAATGTCCAATTAATCTGACTGTATTGGTATAAAAGTGATTTTAAGCTACAGATTTTAAGCCTGATACATGCTCTCTCTACCCTTACCCCCTGCCATGTCTACTAGAAGAGACAGTTGGCCTTGAAAAGACTACAAATTTGCAGAACATCAAATCATACTCTGCAAAGAATAATACTATCAATTTGGAGGCTGCTTCTGATGTAGGGTAAGCAGCTTCCCTTATCCAAGGAAAACCACTGACTACATTTAATGGAAGTCTTCAGCTATACTTAGGTTTGTTAAGAAGCCCAAACAAGTTCTGCACCACATTTTAATACAGCCTTATTTGACTAAAGAAAAATTATATATGTGCTTTTTAATTATCAGATGAAGAAATGGAACAGCATTTACTCAGATGTACAAAACAGTTTTCCTATTAGAAGACATTCTGATCAACAGAAGAAGAACTTTGGTTTTGGAGACGACTCCTGAGAATACTATAGCAAAGAAGAAGGGAAAAAAACCCCCAAAACAAATGCATCATAGAATAAATCAATCCAGAACTCTTTTTCAGAGCTCAAGTGACCTGGGTCAAAATATCATGTTGAGTATTTTATGCAAAATGAAAAACTTACAGTATAATGCTAGAAAAGGAAGGATAGAAAAAAAGAGAATGGCCAGTAACAAGGTGGATGGACTCAGTTACAACAATGATGGGTGCACCATTGGAAAACCTGAAGGACCAGATTAGGAACAGATCATGTATGATTATTAAAAGACAACACCAACTCGATGACACATAATCCAGCTCTTTATTTGTATCCTACAAATGTCTGGACCAAGTCAATATAACTGGTAGCTTCTTAGAGCTAAGTAGTCCCAGTCTTATTTTTGTTGGCTTCTTACCAACCAGATGCTGTGATAATCTGAAACTATATTAGATGGCACTATAGGCTACATACAGAAGAACTGGTGTTTAGGCCCTTGGGTAAGAATGACAGGAGTACAGGGATGGTTGCTGTCAAGAGCCATCAGTAGTAAGCATATTATGGTGGCCACCAGTATAAACCTTAACAATGTATACAAACTGTGTCATTGAATGACTCAGGAGCCCTGGTTTATGTGAAGCCTACAATTAAAAATATGAAATAAACTGTGTCTGATTTTATAAGAAAACTGTCTGTGGACCTTGAATGGCAACAAGTTTTCACATATGGAACTCGCTAGTAAATGCGGTCACAGTGTTGAAAATGTATATATAAATACACTGCCACGATGCAGCTTTGCACCCTGTAGTAATTGAACACGTGGACAATTCCGGCATGCTTCATTTTTCTGTGGTAACACCCGAAGTAGATCTCATGCACAGGACATGCCAAACTTTACATCTGGCAAATTAGATATTGCATAATTATTCACACATGTCAATGGATCCATATTCTCCACACATGTTCAATTTGAATTGGACTAGGATTTGAGAAATTCAGGTTCAAGTCTCTGCTCAAGTAAGAAACTCAGTGATCTCATATTTCCATCTAATCTAAGTCACCAAATTAAAAAATAAAATACAAAGAGGAAATTATGTATACTGCCTTGAGCTTCTAAAGCAGCATTTTTCAAACTTGACTGCCTTAAGATGTATAGATTTCAATTTTAAAATTCCCCAAGTTGAAGCCCATTTTCTGGGAGTTGAGGTCCATATATCTTAAAACTATATATCTTGAAAAACACTGCTCTAGAGAAAAGATAGGTTGAGATTGCAGTGATTGATTGAATAAGTTCCTTGGATATACAGTAGAACTCTATATCATGAGCATTGTTTGGTGAAAAGAGGTTTTAACAAATGAGTACCTCAACAGGATCTCCTGCTTGTACCTCTGTATTGTGCATCTTGAGAACAATACCGGAAGAAAACAAAAAGACCGTATATTGATGATATGACCCACTCTATGAAAGCAACTTGTTTCTCATTTTAGAACTTGGGCTTGATTCATAAGGTTCTCTACCCACTTACTTCTGCCTGAAGCCAATCTTCAAATATCAATATTAATTTATGATTAAATTAGATGAAGATGAATGTTACTATTCTCATTCAAGAAAAACCTTACCGTATGTATTATTGACAATACCACTATCTCATTAACTCTTGCATGGCAACTTACTTGTAACTGGACATAGTCCCAAGCATTTTCAAGGGTCTTATTATTGTCGTCAGAAGGATTGTAATTCTGGACAAGTTCACTAACGATCCCAGACATTTCCGCTTCAAGCTAGTAAAAATAATACAAAAACATAATTAAGCACTGGTCTTGTGATTATTGATCTCATCTTACATTTGAAGATATATAAATTATTTGAACTTTATTCCATAATAAGGGAACCTTTTCCTTTTTCCCCTAGATGTGTCTTCCAGAATGTCCTGCAAGTAAGAACTGGAGAGAGGGAAAGAGAAGGAACAATAACAACATTTTCTCTATCAACAAAAAGAAAGTAAGGGACAAGTCAGAGCATTTCACTCAACACTACAAACCATGTCTAAGATGTGATGAAATAATTGTTAGCTATTCTATTAGTATCTTAAGAACAAGTATGAATATCAGTCTGTTAGTGCTGAGCACTAAACTCACCAGGATTCATATTCTGGCAATTAGACTATATGGCAATCACAGAATAAAGAAAGAAACACAAGCAACAACAAACAAGTTCTTGCAAAACAGAGTTGCTGTAAAATATTGCCAACTGCTACAGATTTGGAAAGAAGGCAGCCATCTGTCTTTTTGTTTTTAGGACACATGTCTGAGCAAACGGCAAAAATATCCTGCGGTGTGAACCCTAGCAAGTGTCAAGTCAGCAAAATGCAAGCTCATCTCTTGAGCTATGAATGGCACAAGTGTCTGGATTACTATCTGCCGACTGAGAAGATGATGTCAGACAAGAACAGTAAAATGTTTCACAATTTCCTCTTAGTGAAACTGGAAATTACCACAAAGGTCAAAAGTTTCTATTAAGAATTAACTTTCAAGTCAAACTGCAGTCCATGCTTTCAATTTTTACTTAATCTACTAGTATCAAAAACTAAGGTATGCCTGATTCCACACAGAAAAATGTAAAGGGAATGAAATTTATAGTTACTTAAGTATCATGCAAGGTTGCTTTTTAAAAATTATATCACACCATGTTAAACATAAAGGGTCTTATTGTTATTGATCAGGGTAAAATTTGACCTTTTTCAATTTGCTATAATATGGACTTGATAAGAAATGTAAATGTTCCTGTCCAGTAAAGACATATTATGATCAGGAAAATTAACATTAGCATGAGCTCAGGACTATTTGCTTTTTGAAAATGCATTAATGTTAGACACTGTGGGCACTAAATGAGAGAATTTTTTTTCTTTTTCATTTACTGCAGTGCTTATATTTTCCTTTCATGATGAAGTGTTGGGCAGTTTACAATTCTCATTTTCAGGATGACTTACAAATGTTGGTTTTCTACTGTCATATGGCAATGTTAAGGCAACCTATGAAAATCTTACATAAATTAAACCTGAAAAATATTTTCTGAGGAACATGGAGAGACCCAGAAACCTTTTCCTCTAATGCTGGCCTATCAGAGCAGGAGCATAGGGATGAATATGCAGGAAGCACTGCAATATCAGTTTGTGATGTTTTCAACCTACATTAAATGAAGTTTCCATCAGCTATTTTAACAAATGGAAATAATTTGCACAAATTGAGTACTGGCTAGTGAACTGTATGACTGAATCTAGGTTTGAAGAGCAGCGTAACAATATATATTTCTGAATGGTATAATTACATGAATGGGTCTTTAAGTAACTTGGAGAAAACTTAATTCAAAGATAGTTTAAAGATTAATAGGGATCCACCAATGAATCTTATAATTCATTCAGCTTAATTCATAATTAAGCTCTAAGCAGACTCGTGAAGTTTTAAAGCAAGCATTATTGGGGGGGAGGGGGGAATGCCTCTATGTTTCTGAATAAAAATGAAGAAACAATATATGGGATTTAGCGAATTCTTCCAGCCTAAATGCCGAAATAGGGAATATGAGTCAACCCAGTGTAAGAGAGGACAGCTGGCTGCTTTCACACCAATCACATTATAGTAGCAATCACATTATAGTAGAAACTTAGTCAACTTTCATAATCCAGAATACTGGGAAGGAGAACACAGTCCGGTATTCTAAACCTCTCCTGCCAACAGAATCTACATTTAGTTTCCTCAGAGGTTTCCCCACAATAAGCAAAAGAAAAACAAGGCTTCATCAATTCCCGTTATTAAAGAAAGCCTGAAGAAACATATGTAGCCTTCCATCTTTACTGCACAGATACTAAAACCAAAACCTTGATGGAAGGGGGGGAAAAGGGAGGGGGGAGAAATGAGTGATAGAAGCACTTACAATCTACTGCCAGGAACAAATTTGTGCAAAACCTCCCAGATTCCACGAGTAGAATTTCCCAACTATCGCTCACTTTTTCCAATATTACACATTATTAAAAGTTCTCCTGACTAGACTACACACATAAATTCATTACTCTGCATTGCCACATTGTTCTCTTCTGTAAGTCAAGATATTGAGGGGAAGGGGGTCTAAAAATATACGATTGTCTTTAATTTAAACTAATTTTAAATTTAATTTAAACTAACTTCAGTTTGACTACTCTTAGGTTCTGTTATTATCTCCATAACACATTAACTTGCAAAAAAAGGTTGTAGAAAAATTAGTACATTTTTAAACAAAAATTGATATGTAATTTGGCATCAGAGCAGTTTTTACTCAGAATTTAGTATGCTTTACAGATTAATATTTTAATTTCTTTTTTTATTAGAGGTTGCAGCACAACATTCAAAGAAGTATAACTATTGAAATATACTGTTATTTCCTCTCATGGTTTGCAAAGTGCTAATTAATTAAGTTTACATTAAAATGTAAACTCAACATTCAAGAATCTGAAAGATAGTTTTGCAGCTGAGTAAATGACTAAAATTGGGTTGCCATTTTAACTGTTTTTTTGTTGTCTCTGGACATTAAAGGCAAAATTGATTTCTTTTCTTGTTTGAAAATTGAAATTCTACACAAGCCATATGGAACATCTCAAAATAGCAAATATGGGTACAGAGATTACTAAGATTATAAACCAAAAATTAGAGGTTCTTTCTAAGAAGTGGGATAGTGGAAAAAAGCTTATTACAAGAGAGAAAAGTGCTCTGAATGCTTTATACACGTATTTCAAGCCTTCAGATTCTATTTTTTATTTATTCATTCCTGCAGTGGATTTTGTCCACTTTTACTTCATCTAGAAACCTACTTTTTTGGGCAAGTTAAACTTTTGTTGTTGCTTCATTTCTTACCCAAAATTCTCAGGATATATTTACTGTAGTGGTTTTCTGAACCAATACTGAACTGTTTTGAATTTTAAATTTGAATTTTGTACAATTTCACAGTCTTGTTGAATTGAACTTGCATTACTTTTAATGGAAAACACTTAAACCATGTAATAAATAGTAAAAGTAGGCCGAGTATTTCTATTCACATTTATCCAGATTTCTTGTCCAGTGCAACTGTATATAACAAGCAAGAAACTAGTTATTCATTATTTCCCAGTTTATTAATATATCTTTTAAGCAAAGAAGGCTTTGAGCAATTAATCATTGTTAAATTCTAGGTGATTAACAAAAATTAGCTATTGAAAAAACTCTCCTTAAATTCTATAAAATATTTACAGTTAGTTGGTGTCTACACTACTTTTTCTTTCTTTTTTCTTTCTATTATTTGCTGCTTAATTTTTGGTCTTAGTTCCTGGTTTTAAGAAGGACGGTAAGCTGTTTTGAAAACAGGAATTCAAAATCCCCTAAATAAAGTTACATGCTTTTTTTTCTTAAATATTTTCCTAAGTACATATTAAGAAATTCAAAAATATAAAAAAAAAACAACCCAAAAAAATTAGTTTTAGTTAACTCACACCTAATATTTATAGTTCTGTGATTCTTGCTGTTGTAAATTTTGTAACAGAAAGTACCAGATTATCAAGTTACATATATCATTTTTCCATCTAATCAGGAACAAACAAACACCAGTTTTATTTTTATCACTTCATGCAAATACAACGAACAGTAATAACTCCAACCCAAATGAAGAATGTCAGATTGGAAGAGATAGAGAAGAGTGCTTTTAAAAAAAACAATGACTTTATAGTGATATTTGCTGAAAAACTGCATGTCTAAATCTTGTTTTTAAGACATTACTTGGAAATGCATAAGAATCAGAACAACACAACCTCAACCTTAGCAAGGAAAGAAATTGGGAAACAAAAGTGTCACTTACTGCATTCCTCTGGAAATAGATCAGCAGGCCGGCAGCTATTTGGGCTATGAGAATCAGCAATAGGCAAGTAAAATACTGCAAAACAAATGAAAAGTTTTTCTCACATTTGTGACATTAGTACTTGGTATATAGATAGTCCTCAACTGACAACAGTTAGTTTAATGACCGTTCAAAGTTACAACTGCACTGAAAAAAAGTGACTTATGACCGTTTTCCACCCTTGTGGTGTGGAGACGATAACTTGGTCCTCAACACCAATAAGACCAAGGAGCTTATAGTGGACTATAGAAGGAACAGATCAGACATCCAGTCCTTGCTTATCAATGGAGACCAAGTGGAGCAAGTGGCCAGTTTTAAGTTTCTGGGTGTTACCATAAAAGAGGACCTGACCTGGGGTGCTCATATTGCAGCACTGGTCAAAAGGGCCCAGTAGAGGTATCTGAGACTTCTCAGAAAACAGCAACTGAATGAAAAACTGCTGGTGACCTTCTACCGCTGCACCATAGAGAGTATTCTAACATACTGCACCTCTGTATGCTTTGCCAATTGCACAGTGGCAGATAGGACAGTGCTCCAGAGGGTTAACGTCATTGCCCAGAAGATCATTGGTTGCCCTCTCCCCTCTTTGGAAGAGCTTTATAGTTCCCGCTGCCTTAAGAAAGTTCAAAACATTCTCAAAGATCCATCTCATCCTGGGAACCCTTTTTTTGAATTATTACCATCTGGCAGACGGTACAGAATAAAAACAAGCACAAATAGGCTGAAAAACAGCTTCTATCCCAGAGCAGTAGCTCTTTTGAATTCTACTGTATAGTAGTGTTGGTGTGGTGTTGCGGGTTTTCGGTTCAATGTGTGGAGTATAAAGGATGTGTGTTTGTGTTTATTTTCATGGTCATGATGTGCACAGAAGATGGTGTTTGATTTTGTTGTACGAGGTGTAATGACAATAAACTAAACTAAACTTACAACCATTTAACTTACCTACAGTTACCTGAATAAAATTCAGATGCTTGGCAACCGACTCAAACTTATGACAGCTGCAGTGTCCTGGGGTCATGCGATCACCTTTTGTGACCTTCTCACAAGCAAAATAAACGTGGAAGCCAGATTCATTTATCAGTTGTGTTACTAACATAACAACTGCAGTGACAACGGTGACAAGGCAGGCCGTAAAATGGAGCAAAACTCCCTTAATCACTATTTTGCTTAGCAACAGAAATGATGGGCTTAATTGTGGTCGTAAGTCAAGGACTATCTGTACTACTTCACAGGTGGAGTTCTTCAAGGGGACGGGAGGAGGGGGGGGTCCTATGGAAGACAGTACAACCAGATGTAATAGGAAGCTTCAGCTACGAAGCCAGAATGCTTTCTTGCCAGGAGCCCAGTGAGTATCTGCTGATGTATCAGAAAGAGATTTATTTCCATTTTCTGCCTGTCGGAGCACAATAAGCTAACAGAATTTGCTAAGCTTGCTTCCATGAGGTGCTTTAATGGAAACCTGGCACAGGTTTAGACAAGGTATCTGAACAGGTCTGAAATAGTGCAAGAGTCTCTACGGATCTTTTCCATCCTCCCTGAAGACTTTCAGTCTTTCTCCCGAGGAAAAGAAGTTGCTGGTAGAGAGAAGACATTCTGGGGTAGGATTGCAGCCTTCTGCCTCTACTGTAAGATCCCTCCTTACAGGGCAATACTGGCAATTTTGGAAAGAATGTGGGAAACATACTGTTTTATCACCTTCTTTAAAACTAAAGATGGTAATTACAAATATGCAAAACCTAATGAATCTATAAGAATTCATTAAAAAACAAAACAGCAACATCAAAGTCAGCCAGTTTGCAAATTGAACCTCCAAAGGACTGTAAGTGTAGGTATGAAGAAAGCTTTTCTTGTGAAAGTATTCCACAATCAGATTGCAACCACAGAATGAGCTCCTTCTGTAACAACTTCCAAAGATATACTGCATACCGAGATGCCACAGATATGGCAATTTTTGCATATATTCTGTGCTTTCTAGATGCTTCTCTGTCACTTGTGACTTGTAGCTCAAAGCCAGAAAGACTTTACCAGCATCTGCATGTACTGCTTACCAGTCCCAAGAGGCAGCGAATCTCATTGACCGCTCCAACACAGCCCAGGAACCCCATTAACATGGTGAGAGCTCCTACTGCAGTAAGAATGTATGCTCCAACTTTTGAAGTTGATGATGAGGTCTCTGTGGAAATCCAAGGGGGAAAAAAACTACATATAACAGATGCACATTTATTATGTTCCAGCAAAGCAAGATAATTGTTCAAGAGAGATAAAGCACTCTGCTTTAAGTTCTCTAGCCAAGAAATCAAAGCACTGGACAACAAACAGCTAAATCCTATTACATGCATTGCACTGGAAACTGAGCACTCACTTATTGGTCATGTGATTGTGAGGAAATGAACACATAGCTGTATTTTAAAAGAATGGTCCAGAGGAAGGGGAAGGAATTGACCCAGAAGGATGCGAAGAAATTGAAAATGCATTCTAGTGTTCAGGGAAGTGAAAATGTAAGTCCCAATTGGTAGGTTTGTTTATACTAGCTGACTTGGGAATACTGGTTAGTGCTTCTGAGATTTTAATAAAACAGGAAAGGATTATTAGCCATGGTTGGAAGTTAGCATGTCTTGTCCAGATTTCACATAATGATAAATTCTTATTGACTTACGTTTGGATGACCACTTTTGTATCCCTAAGCATTAATCATGCTAGCTGGGGTTGATATAATATCCAGTTCAAAAATTGGTAGGAATACTACATAATCCACCTTTGACTTAAAGCACACGTGAAATATTCAGTAATGTTCTGTTTTTAAGATGTTCAACTTCAGAGCAGTACCCAGTTGGAAATTCTACATACTTTGACAAGCCTGTCCCATCAAATGGTGCTGTCTTTTTTAACAAAGTGGCCTAAGCAGAGCTTTTAAGACCAACCTTGCAGAAAGGCAATGCCTCAGCTGGGCTCTTGATCTGTAGCACTTTTTGGTTTGTTGAGAAAAATTTCCCAGACTTTGCTGGCATAAGGCTACAAATTTCTATTCTCTCTTGCACAATTTTTCCTCTACTTTTTTTTTCTGGGAAAAATTCCAGACTAGCACAAGAGGGAGGCCTTTTTGGCAATAGAATGGAATGCCCTGCTGTGTCAAGTTCCTTCCCAAACTCTCTGTTAAGGTTACCAGGGAAAAAGGGGGAGGAGGAAACAAGAGAATTGAAAAAAAGAGTCCATCTGGAAATCTCTGGGAAGGAAACAGGAATCTCTGCATGCACAATGTGATTACAAGATAGAAGAAGAAAACTTTTTTTAAAGGGTGCTCGCATATTAAAGGCTCCAAGAACACAGTAGCAATAACTGAATTACTTTGATCCGCCTAGCCTACAGAATTATAAACATTTGGTTTACAGATCATAAGACAAAACCAGATCATGTTCTAATTCTTATTTTACTGTTTAAAACTGTAGATGAGTATTAAAGGGAGACGGGAAGGAGACATGGCTTCATTCAACTTGCCATTTTTGTGTCTGACTAATTCTTCTTTATAGATAACATAACATTGCAGAAGTGATCCAGCTAAGAATAGTTAGAAATGTAAATACAGAAAGCAGAAATAGCACATACTGTTAACAGGAAAGTATCTTCTTTTTAAATCATTATGAAATCTGCCAACTTCTGAAAACTACCCTCACATTTCTGCTAAAAGGGGTAAAAATTATCATGAAAATAATTTTACAAGGATAGCGCCCTTGGTCTGACCTGATGTAGTCTCACATGAAAAAGCAGATTAGCTTTTTCTAAATCTAGCAGGAAGCCATCCCTGCTTTGGACTAAGGTCTAAAGATGGACTGTTCTTCAGATGTACAGTGTTTCCTGTTGGAATTTACTTTCAAAGGCAAGAAAACTATACATAAATCAATAGGAAAATTTAAAATGGTCTTACGTAGAACTGAAATGAAGCTTGTTGTGTCCACCAAAATCCATATTCCAAAACCTAGGATGACAGCACCCAGGATCTGGAAAAGAAAATTCAGTTACTTAAAAAGATCATATAAATCTTAAATTTTGTTTCATGAATTTGCATAACAGTTTTAATGATAAGTGCATCCAAAACAGCTCACAGAAAAATAGAAATAGGGTTACAAACTACAATAAGTCATACTTTTTTAAAATTCATGCCTTTATCAAAATTATTTCTATAACGGGTCAGGGTGAAACATTTCCAGCAGTAAAAGACAGATGGTGACTATGAAAACGTGCTGGTTTTTTTTTAAGGAGGGGGAAAATCTATTTAGTCTTTCCAATACATGTGACAAATATATTGAACCCAGTCATGTCTTGAGTATCAGAGAGATGACGCACAGACATAGCTAAAAATAAGAATTAGCACTGACTTGGTACTTACTCAACCAGAGAATCTCTAACTTACAACTTTGCCAGAACCCTTCCAATTTTCTCACCGGATTAGGCCAAGCATTCTCTTTAACATAACATTAAAAATTGGGGAAACAAACAATGACTGCCATTTTTCTATTTTCATATCACAGTTCTTCTCTCTTTCCACCCACCCCCACTCCATTTTTTGGCTTCTTGAATCATACAAATGTCTCTGGGGACTCAGGAAAATCCCTATTTATGATGTGCAATTCAACAAGGGTAGCTTACAGTTCCATTCAGCCTTTACAGCCAGTGAAGTTCCCTGTTTCAGTTAAAGAGTAACATAAACAGAAGTATAAACTAATTGCTGAGATCATCACATTTTCTTTTCAAATGAAATCTTTTTTTAAAATTAATACTTAGATTTTAAATGGAGAAGTGTGCTTTAATTTTCTACATGGGTAACCAATCCACCATGCAAACCTTCCTGAACAGGTACAAACTCAAATATTCAGTGAGAACTAATTTCAAGTTTAAAAGAATTCAAATGACCAGCTGTCTGCAAAGAATATAAATCCTTCCATTCCCTACCATCCAGTCAGAACTGAAGAAGCTTTTTGGATGAGAAGCGAAACGTCTTCAAAGAAAAACCAGAAAGTCCGGTTGCCTCTTGAAAAATGCACCTTTGGGACAACCATGACCTGGATGACTGAAAATCTCCATAGATATTCAAGTTTATAATTTGCTGTGCACCTCTACTTTTAAGGCAGAAGAATTAGATAACAGCTATGTGCATAGGCTTAGCAACATTCCATAAGTTCTCAAACACCCCTTCTCTTTCTAGCATGTCATTAAACTCAGACCGATTACTATACTTATAATAAAGTACACAATGGAGTTACACCCTTTGTATGAATGATAAGAATACAAGGAAACAGCTAAAGGACAACTAAACATGTATAATTGTATAGAAACAGGAAGCAACTCTGCAGTCCCTTACAAAGGATACTTATGCTAAATATTTGCCTACCAAACAAATTCAATGAGGCTACAAATCATACAACAGTCATACCAGCAGTAAATCCGGTGGCACAGTGCCACATCTTGGCAAGCAGGTTGCAAACACACTGCAGTGCAGCAGTGTGCTGTAAATGGCTGCCAGCTGGCAAACTCCACCCATCATCATAAGTTGCCATCAGCACACAGTTGAGAACAGGGCAGCAATTATTATGCTGCTCTAACCCATTTTTACTCAGCTAATCGCAAATCATTCCTGGGGATGGATAAATAAATCTGGACCATTCTGTAGACTTCCATGTCAAAACAGAGTTCAGCTGCAGGACAATAAAGACCTCAACAATGGAGGAATCCCAATTCCATCACTAGAAAATAAAACTCAAGATTTCTTTGTATTACAGCTCCTCTGTATAGGGGATGAAATTGAATAATGTTAAAACTGACAACTGTTAAATTGTATTCCAGGGTTTATTTTGTGATTAAATAAAAGCATCAGGATTTTGCAAATTGTTTCCTAGGACGAACAGTAAAGAAAAAAAAAAGTATACTGTGTTTAACAGAACGAATAGCACAATGTTGCATTCCACAAGACATCAGAAAGGATTCATCTTAACAGAAACCAAAAGAAAAGTGTACCCTGATCCTTTTTCCTCCCTCCAACCTGGATTCTCAAATTCTCCTTCCTTATTCCCATGACAAGGAGATTCCACTCTGGGAAATGTAAAATTCCAAATGAGGAATTTTTCACGGTTAGAAGACTTGCCTACATAACATGATACTGCAGTTATGGTCATTTGAGTTACAATCCTGGAGCAGTAACTAAATTAACCGTTTTGAACACAAGTGAGAACCCCTGCTATATTATACCCCTAGAAGGCTGTTTGTTGCCAAGCAAGAGAAAGAAAGCCAAATGCACAATGTCCTCCTTGGTGATCCTTGACTTCATTTAGTGACCATTCAAAGTTACAAAAGTGACTTACGACCACTTTTCACACTGATGGCCATTGCAGCATCCACATGGTCACGAGATTTACATTTGGATGCTTGACAACTAGTTCATATGTATGATGGTTGCCATGTCCCAGGGTCATGTGATCAGTGGTGGGATTCAATTGTTTTTACTACCAGTTCTGTGGGCGTGGCTTGGTGGGCATGGCAGGGGGAGGATACTGTAAAATCTCCAGTCAGAGGTCTCCATTTGCCGGTTCCCCGAACTACTCAAAATTTCTGCTACCGGTTCTCCGAACTACTCAAAATTTCCGCTACTGGTTCTCCAGAACTGGTCAGAACCCGCTGAATACCACCTCTGCATGTGACCAACTTTTGTGACCTTCTGATAAGCGAAGTCAATGGGGAAGCCAGATTCACTTAACAACCGTGTTACAAATTTAATCACTGCACTTAACAAATGATTCACTTAACAAATGTGGCAAGAAAAGTTGTAAAATGGGACAAAACTCACTTAACAAATTTCTCACTTAGCAACATAAATTCTGGGCTCCATTGTGGTCGTAAGTTGAAGACTACCTGTATAAATTGGACCATCAACACAATGTTGTGGTCTGCAATCTTAAAAGCTACCAGCTTCTCTCTTTTGGTCCATCCAGATTTTCTATTTACCTCTCCTAGCCCTCTTACTGTCCACCCGCCCTCATTTTTCCCATAAAGAATGTTAATGCAAAATTTGAGGTGCCTCTAACCACGTTGTATCCTGTGCCTTCATCATACAATTTTGACCACATCATGACAATTATTCAGGATTTGAGAAAAATACATGACTAATGCATTTTACAAAGGAAAATAGGTGACTAATTAAATTATAGCAGAGGGTTTGTTTGTTTTTAACAGCTGGGTGGGAATGTTTCCTCTCTGGAAAGAACAACAAATTTCTGAGCAAAAAAGTGTAGCATAAAAAAAGATGTACCAGCATTTAAATATGTAAATATGCCTGCAATGATATATGTAGTGGGACAATTTCATGACTTAAAAAAAAACCTTTAAAAACCCCCTCACACCTACTCATAATGAATTGAGAGAAATAGAACAGCTTTAATTTTGCAATGGGCAGAACAATTACAAGAAGTGTTGTTCCTTTAATAAAACACAGTATCGTGTTCAGCAAAAGCTTATGAACTAGAACACTAACAGCAATAGAGAAAAAAAGAAAACACAAGGGCAGCGTTGAATACACTGATTCACTGTGTGGCAAAGTAGAGCTATTATATTTGGATTACAAAAATCTAGATGACTATTACATGACAGCAAAGAGACATTTCTTTATCTTGTTCGTAGGATTTACTGACTGTAAAAAATTTTGCAGCCTAGGTATAGTTATCCAAGAAACACTATGTGAAATATGAACAGCAATCTTCTTTTAATATTGCAATGTGCCAACAACACTTTAAAATGCAGAGACTAAGATCTTTCCAGCTGTGGTTCTGAAATGACTTGGATGCTGTTATTGCTTTGGTTGCCAAGGTTGTGTTTGTACACTACTTGCAATACTGTTGAGTGAAATAAGTTACACACTCATAAATAACATTCTGGCAAGTCCCCCCGAGTCTGTTCCCTGTGCCCATATGCTACTCCAGATAATATAAACTGTACTTTGGGACATGTGCAGAATGCTTCATGTGTACAGCTGAGACTGCTAAGCAGCCCTGCAGCTTTCAGTTTAAAAGGTAAATGGTCAAGAGGCTTTTTATAAATGTAATTGCTCATGACTCATATCTCCAGAACTATGGATAGATAATATTCATTATACCAGATTATGTGAAACAAGTTTTTGATTATAACTATGTCTTGGGTAGCCTTGAGGACACACTAACTCAAAAAGCAATGGGCTGAGTAAATGATCATAGCTTAGCTGCCATCACAATGACCAGTAGACAAGGTGTGGTTTCCAAAACCCAACACTGAAACTCACTAGTGATGAATCCATCTGATCTAGTAGATTTCCTCTTAACCCTTCTGCAATGGACAGCAGTTATGTGTATAATGCATCAGGAGGGGCTTCTTACACCATAAGCATTACAAATTCCAAGATAGGTCTATCATCTCAAATGGTTTGTACCAGCAGTAATAAAGAGTAGTTCACATAGATACCTCATTGATCATCATAGGATGAAAAAATAAATCCTCTGCACACTTGCCTGTGAACTCAATAAAATCTCATCACTGAGAAAATAAGACATTGTCCTATTAAGGTGTCACACAAATAAAAGTCTAGCTTGTTTATTAATTCATCATTCATTACCCACAAGATTCTGATTCAGATTCCCCTAGGCTGCCATGCCTTAAAATGGGATAAAAGCCCAGATTTCCAAATCTTAAGGCAAATTGTAGAGCCATGATAGGAGCCAAAGAGAAGAACCCCGGAAACCAGCTTCTTCCTATAGTCTAACCAGTGGAAAGTTTTAATGGAAAGAATTCCAGTCGTCTATTCTCCTTGGGCTTCTTCCTCCCTGCTACTTGTTTCCTTCTTCAGCCAGCCCTCAAGAGACTTCCCACTTCTTTCTGTGCGTGCTGTGGGAAAATACTTTGCTGCTCAGCTCTGGAGTTATTCAATCACACAGCTTTCATCCACCTCCTGTCAGTTCAGAGCCATCTCAACAGAGCTCCA